CTATTTGTTATCTTACTTCTATCATTGACAGTCCCTCTAGGTTGTGGGCTGCTTGCCTGTGTTCCTGAGAAGCATCTACGGTACCAGTCTATAGAGTGTTTTTTCTTTAGTGAATTACCGGTATGTTTACCGGTAATAAACTTGCACTGTTTTATGTATATGTTTGATTACATACAGCCTTGTGACAGTTTTCCTGCATGTCATAAGCATTTGAATATAAATTAAAATGTTAAAATCAAATCTGATATTGTTTTACCTTTTATTTGGTGTGTGGAAGGTGTGCGGAAGAGGGGGTAGTCTTATACGGCGAGTATATAACAAACTCTGTATTTTGAGTGGAAATGTTAGGGGGTCGTCTTATACGCCCAGTCGTCTTATACGCCGGCAAATACGGTACTTTTCTGGTTAAAAGTAGGTGGAGCGACATTAATTTAGTTGAGAAGGGATTTAAGAAAACGGAAAGGCTGGCTTTAGAGAGTTAGAAACATCAATGAGAGAGAAACATCCGTTCAGTTGCCTCCCTACTGGGAATGTGCCCGCAACCCAGGTACGTGCCCTTGACTGGAATCGAACCTGGGACCCTTCATTCAAACCATTAAAAAAAAGTTATGATTCAATTTGTCTTTTAAGTTGCATCATTCATAAATTAGTTATTAAATAGTGAAGTCTTCATTTTAGTGTAGTTTTAGGCCCAGTGTTGAATCCTAGGAAACTGTAATAGTGAATATGCTTTGAATATGAATTGAATTTTCAGTGTATTTCAAATACTGAATATTTTGAGTATGAGTATTCAAAATTATATTGGAGTGATGTGCTTGTAGTCATCTTGGCGACATTCCGTCGATTTCGTTGTCTCGCGTATAGGTGATCTACGCTTTTTGTTTCAGACAGAACTAGGTTGTGAGGATATATAGGCTATCAAGCAGCTTTTTCTCTGTCTCAGTGTTACTTGGTTAATTGTAAGGATTGCTCCTCAACATCTTTCCTTTTTACCTGTGCTTATTAAGAGCAGTGGATGATTAGCATTTTCCCGCTGTTTTTCTCCTTTAGCAAGAATAAGAGAATTGACTTTGATCTTCTGAATTCTTTAGTAAATCAAGCATTATGATGCTACACCTAGAGAGCATACTAATCTATGTTGTTCGTGATTGGAGAATGGCTATGTGTTTAAGATCCTTGGTTTGTGTTCCTTTCCCTCCCTTTGAGTCTTCGAACTGTTGGTTCATTTTCTGACTTGATGGTGATTACTGGCTGAAATGAAACGTTTCTGTTAGTGGCTTCCCTGCTTTAAGCTCCCTCCCTCCCACAGCACACTCTTAGTTTCTCCTCTCTCTTGCATTCTGAAATACAATTTCATTAAATCCTGAGAGAGCTAAGGTTTTTCTTTGGGAATTTATCTCCAGTGCCTGAAATTAAAAAAAGAAAATAGGATAGTTCTCTATGAAATCTTACATGCATCTTTGGAAAAATTTGTATTTTGTAAATGAAAGCAAACTTTTATGTTGGGGGCATATATTCAGAGGTGGAATTCTGTCGTTATTGTTTTAATAACCATGTCCTAATTATTTATAGCTTCCTGCTTGACATAACTCACTTCAAGAAGTGCACAATGTCAGAACGTGGAATTAAGTGGGCTTGTGAATATTGTACGTATGAAAACTGGCCATCTGCAATCAAGTGCACTATGTGTCGTGCCCAGAGACCTAGTGGAACTATTATCACAGAAGATCCATTCAAAAGCGGTTCCAGTGATGTTGGTCGAGATTGGGATCCTTCCAGCACCGAAGGAGGAAGTAGTCCTTTGATATGCCCAGACTCTAGTGCAAGACCAAGGGTTAAGTCTTCATACAGCATGGAGAATGCAAATAAATGGTCATGCCACATGTGCACGTATTTGAACTGGCCAAGAGCAATCAGATGTACCCAGTGCTTATCCCAGCGCAGGACCAGGAGTCCCACAGAGTCTCCTCAATCCTCAGGATCTGGCTCAAGACCAGTTGCTTTTTCTGTTGATCCTTGCGAGGAATACAATGACAGAAATAAACTGAACACAAGGACCCAGCATTGGACTTGTTCTATTTGCACATATGAAAACTGGGCCAAGGCTAAAAAGTGTGTTGTTTGCGATCATCCCAGACCTAATAATATTGAAGCGATAGAGTTGGCAGAGACTGAAGAGGCTTCTTCCATAATAAATGAGCAGGACAGGGCTCGGTGGAGGGGAAGCTGCAGCAGCAGCAACAGCCAAAGAAGGTCGCCGCCCACCACGAAGCGGGACTCCGACGTGCAGATGGATTTCCAGAGGATTGAGTTGGCGGGCGCTGTGGGCAGCAAGGAGGAGCTTGAGGTGGACTTCAAAAAGCTAAAGCAGATTAAGAACAGGATGAAAAAGACCGACTGGCTGTTCCTCAATGCCTGTGTGGGTAAGTTTTTGCATTTTATTGAATGGGATGGGAAAAGTACTGACAGTGACATGAAAGATATAAGCAGGGTCAATATTACTTAGCATTTAGTTCATTCAGCATGATCTTGTTATAACTTTGTCCTAAATTGCCTCCGTTCCATTGTGTATGTGTCTCCATCAGTAGGGAGCAAAACTTTTAAGTTAAAGTGTTCTACACATCAGAATTAAAATACACACCTGGGGTTGCAAACGGCTGCTTGATGCACTGGAAGGAGCTGGGGCTGAAGAACACAGCTGCTGCTTCCGTGTGGTAAACAGTGCGAGCACCTTGTGATGGAGGAGCTGTAGTCAGATGTTAAAAATATCACAAAAATGTATGACTCCGAGAAGTTGCACAAACATAATAATGCTGACCTTGAAAATATGTCAGTTTAACATGACTGTCATGCAGTAAGTACTTACAAACTCTATGAAACTTGATTTCACAAGGCCAACTGATTCCACAGGTCAGTCATGATTTGTGGTTTTAGTGCTTTTCTAAGGAAGTTCTGGGTATTGGTCCCAGTTACTGGCTCAGAGCTGTTAAAGGATAGACATGTTGTAAGTTAATTATTTGTGATATAATTTCACAAAAGCAGTTGACTCTTCCATGTTTTCTTTTTCCTTTATTTTTTAAATCCTCATTGAGGATATGTTTATTGATTTAGAGAGAGAGAGAGAGAGAGAGAGAGAGAGAGAGAGAGAGAGAAACATTGATGTGATAGAGGAACATCAATCGGTTGCCTCCTGTATGCACCTCGACCGGGGATTGAACCCACAACCAAGGTATGTGCCCTGACCAGGAATCGAACCTGCACCCTTTTGGTATATGGGAAGATGCTCAATCAGCTGAGCCACATTTTTTCTTTTCTTTTGTTTTGAGAAATTTGATTTTGGATATTTGGATGGAGTGCTTTACATTGATACTCAGTTTTATAAAGGAAATGTTGAGTACCTACTAAAGTTAAACATCTTGTGGAACAATAGTTAAGCTTCAAACATGGCTTATCTGTATATATATTTTCCCCAGTATTAATTTCTCTCATTTATCCCCCTGAATATAGCCCCAAGAATACAGAAGCCATAACTATATGAAACCTGCAAGTCCTAAGAGGAAATTTACAAAAAAAAAAAAATCTGAGTTTTTTGTTTTAGTTTTGCCCTGGCAAAAAGAGTGTCTTGCAGATGAGCCCTCTGAACACCAAACCCAGCAGGCACTTGTGACGTAGCCCCACGTCCCTGCTCTGAGGACCAGGAGGGAAGCACCTTCCGCTTCTACCTGTGTGGCCCCAGTTCATCCTGGGGTTTTCTGCTCCGTCCCGAGTTGGGGCAACACAGAGAGTGGTTGTCTTTTTTTTTTAAATAAGGAAATACCAAAGGGTTTTATTTATTCACTTTAAGAAGTTTTTAAAATAAAATTATTTAACATATTTTTATTGATTTCAGACAGGAAGGGAGAGGGAGAGAAACATCAATGATGAGAGAGAATCACTGATTGGCTGCCTCCTGCACACCCCACACTGGGGATCAAGCCCGCAACCCAGGCCTGTGCCCTTGACTAGAATCAACCCAGGACCCTTCAGTCCGTAGGTCAACACTTTATCCACTTGAGCCAAACCGGCTAGGGCAAAAGGGTTTTGTTTATTATTAATTTTTTAAATTGAGGTCATATTCACATAGCAAAATTCACCATTTTGAAAGTGAACAATTCAGTGGCATTTAGTGCATTCATAGTGTTGTACAGCCACCACCTTTATCTGGTTCTGAAATACTTTCATCACCCCAAAAGGAAGCCCTGTACTGGTTAAGCAGTTACTTCATATCCCCTTCCCCCCTCCTTCCTGGTAACCAACAGTGCTTGTTTTTTCTGTGGACTTACCTGTTCTGGGTAGTCCGTGTAAATGGGCTCTTAGGTGATGTGACCTTTCGTATCTAGGCATGCTTATCTTTTAGTTTAGCTGCATGCCTTTTGGGACACTTTTAAAAACACTTTTGCAAGCAGTAGCGTACTATGCATATGTTTACTACAAGGTGGTGTTACAGTGCACATACGTTTATAGATGGAAATGAACTATATCACAATGATTCTTAACCTCTTTTGGGGCCATAGAATTCTCTAGGAATCAGGTTCATTTGCTCCTTCAGGTTAGTGGATCTCAGCATAAGAACTCTTGCTTTGAAGTGTTTTCTCTCCTTGAAACACAAGTTAGACCAACACGTATTACCTTGCCTTTAAGGCTATTATTTCTTGTCTTATGACTACTCTGTCTTCTTGCTGCTACCTTTTATTTCTTTACATATATTTTTCCTTTTCTTTTTTAAAAAAAAATATTTTTATTGATTTCCGAGAGGAAGGGAGGGAGAGAGAGAGAGAAACATCAATGATGAGAGAGAATCACTGATGGGCTGCCCCCTGCTTGCCCCACACTGGGGATGGAGCCCGCAACTCGGGCCTGTGCCCCGACCGGGAATTGAACCTTGACCTCCTGGCTCATAGGTAGAGGCTCAACCACTGAGCCCCGCCATTCTACTTCTGAGCAAACATCCTGTACCTCTTCAGATTCTAAGAGCTCTGAGCTCATTTTAAAGGTGGAATAAAAACTACTACCAGCATGACCAGTAGTGGATCTGGTCTTGTTTTATTTACAAATCAGTTTCTTTGCCGTTAAGTTCTGTTGCCACCCACTCCAGAGTTGCTTGGTGCTTAGGGCCACGGATTGACTGTGCTTGGTTTTGGTAATGTGGAGTCTGTCTTTCCCGTCAGGAGATGGTTTTGGCTGTTCACTGCACAACATGGCTCCCAAGTGCTGTACGCAAGATTATGGCCCTGTTTCTATTAGGCAGTCACACCCTGTTCTCTGTAATATGCTAACAGCATTGTTCCGTGTTTATATTTTGTTGGGTTAATTAACAGAAGTTCACATTTACCGAAATTTAATCTTTACTTGTCTGCTGGCCTCATGTTCTCCAGGTTTCATTAGGTATGTTGTATTACGGCTTGCTGATACACATTTAAAAGAATCATTTCAGCAATCGCTTCGGCAGCACATGTACTAAAAAAAATCTCCAGAGTATGTACACTAAGTCTAAAATGTATACTTACGACAAAACTGGCACTAAGTAATAAGAAACTGGACAATAAAAACAGCCTCAGGCCAGCTGGGTAGCCGGGGAAATAGGAAGGAGAAGATTGTTGTTGAGGAGGTCAAAGTAAACAGAGCCTCAGCAGCACTGAGCGGGCATCTGTCACGTGACTGGTGGGTGTAAGTTTCACGGCGGTGAAAGGAGTACTGTTACTTGAACTTTTTAAGAACATTTGATACCAAGGCAGCCAGATAAATAGGTCTACATGAAGCTGATTGCTAGGTCCGAAGGTAGTCTGTCACCTGCTACTGTTTCCCGGCATCCCATAGCCATAATATTTGAACTTGATTTTTAGTGTGGCATTTCTGTAGTTCTTGGTTTGTGTTCTTTGCTTGTGTTTGCCTGTTTTCAAGTTGGTATACCACAGTTGTTTGCACAGTCAACTTTCTATCTTTAGAATTTTTTCTGTCCTATGGAATTACTTTGTGCTAATTACCACTTCTGAGTTGCGAGCCCAGTATCAGATCTGTGTTCTAATATTTAATTTTTGGAGATCATCTTTTTGGGAATTTAGAGAGGAAGCTAATGAAATTGTTCACTGTTCTGATAGATTTGTTATGGTTATTTTTTAGTTTTCTGAAAAGGACTTTACATTTTATTTTTCATTACAGTTTACATTCAGTATTATTTTGTGTTGGTTTCAAGTGTACAGCATAGTGGTCAGACAGTCATACGCTTTACACAGTGTCTCCCTGTCATTTTCAGTTCCCAGCCGGCGAAGTGCTAGGTTGACTCTAGGATGCCAGTGGGCCGCTCCGGTTGCTTAGGAATGTGACTGAGCGCCCTCCTGGAAGACACTCTGCTGTTCAGTGACCTTTGTTCCTTAACAGGTTGCTTTACGTCATGAATAAAGGCAGAGCTTGAGGAAAAGGTCTTGAGTCTTCGGCATTTAAAATGATTAGATTTTAAATTACATTTTTAAAAACAAAAATGGTTTGAGTTAAAATATTCTATAAAAAGCTTTTAATAGAATCCAAAATATACACAGACTCCTGCAGCACATCTGTGGCACTGCCTCCATAAAAGGAAACAGAGTGCTGGCCTGCTGGCAGTGCCTTATGTGTCCTTGGTTCGCTGTGTGCTGCTCTTACCTGGGATGTGTGTGTGTCGCTATAGAAGCTCAGGTCTTGTCCTGGCCAGATGGCTCTGTTGGTTGATCATTGTCCTGTACACCAAAAAGGTTGTGGGTTCGATTCCCAATCAGGCCACATACCAAAGTTTGGTGTTTGATCTCCGGTCGGGGTGCCTATGGGAGGCAACCTATTGATGTTTCTCTGTCACATCAGTGTTTCTCTTCGTTCTCTTTCTTGAAAATCAATTAAAACGTCACCTTGGGTGAGGATGAAAAACCAAACCAAACCTCAGATCTTTTCGCTCCATACCCATCCTATCCAAGGCTGCTGATGTTACAGGAAATAGAGTTATTTTAGCACCATGAAAGGAGTGTTAGCTTTGGTTTCTGAGGCGTTCCTCTCGTCATATTGGAACTCTGGCTATACAAGCGCATTTTATGTCATGGTTTTTAAGCGAATTGTGATCATTCTCAGCAATATAAAGATCCCAGCCCTGACTGGTTTGGCTCAGTGGATGGAGCGTCGGCCTGCGGACTGAAGGGTCCTAGGTTCGATTCCGGTCAAGGGCATGTACCTTGGTTGCGGGCACATCCCCAGTGGGGGGTGTGCAGGAGGCAGCTGATCGATATTTCTCTCTCATTGATGTTTCTGACCCTCCGTCCCTCTCCCTTCCTCTCTGTAAAAAATCAATAAAAAATATATTAAAAAAAATAAGATTCCAGTCTGGGGAGCGCACACACATTTTCTTTCCCGTGGCCAGTGC